ACCCGAGTACCCTCCCCGTTATCCAGAAACAGGCTGCCAGCACGGCACCAACCGCCTCAGCTTCCCATCCTCTTACATTCCACCTTAAATCCAGCTCCGTCTCTATGGAAAAGGGAGCGTGCTTCCTCCTCGGTGACCCGGCCGCCACCTGTGCCCCCAGTCGGGCCTGTCACTCGTGTGTGGCCTTTCTCTAGGAGTCCCCTCACTCGCATGTCAGCCAGGCTTCCTGGGGCGGGGGTGGTCTACACTCATGCAGTGGTTTACTGCCTTCTGGCTTACTTCTCAGCGCCCCACCCTGGGCTGTGTCCTAACCACTGCAGATGCTGCTCTGGGGAAGGTCCCCGGAGGCCCCCACGCTGGGGACGCCTCTCTCTTTATCTACTGGACCTTGCACAGCAAGTGGCCTGCCGCCCCCAGTCCCTGACTCCGGCGACACTGCTGTCTGCCGGCCTCCTGCTTCTCAGACACCACAGTGGTCATTCAAGAGCAGCCCAGGGACCGCTGGGGCCTTGGAGACCTTTCAGGAGATCCGTTGGGAAAGGGAATTTTTATTGTTTCAAGCAGGTATTTGCCTTTTCCAGCCTGATTCTCTGCTAAGTGGACAGAGGAAGTTCCCAGAGGCTAGGCTATGCGTGACACAGTGACAGGTCCAGGTGGAAACACACACAGAACCCAGATGTCTTCCACTGAGCCAAACACTAAAGAGACTTGCAAAATAAGTCAAACAGCAAAACTCGCATCACTGGGGTTTTTTTTTGTTTTTCGGTGGGGGGAGAAAAATAGCTATTCTTCATAAAGGTGTTATTTATGTTAGTGTGCCATGGGTTTCCCAGGTGGCGCTAGTGGTAAAGAACCCGCCTGCCAGTGCAGGAGACAGAAGAGACTTGGGTTCGAATCCTGGGTTGGGAAGATCTCCTGGAGGAGGGGCATGGCAACCCACTCCACTCCAGTATTCTTGCCTGGAGAATCCCATGGACAGAGGAGCCGGGTGGGCTACAGTCCACTGGGTCACAGAGCTGGACACAAATGAAGTGACAGCACGCTCAGGTTTATCTGTTTACTTAGAAACGGAGAGGGATTGGCAAACCACTCCACTATTCTTGCCTCAAGAACCCCATGAACAGTACCCAAAAGTAAGTGCTTTAAGATGTTTCAGTTTTACTTTCTAATATAAATATTGATAACTATGCCCCACATAAGCAAGGCTTTCAAGGCCCTCAGGAACATTTAAGAATGTAAAAGATTCCTGAGACCAGTAAGTTGAGAACCACGTTATGATTTCTCTGCCTCCTTGCAGGGGCTCTTCTTCAGCCAACACCTCAAATTTTTATGTTCTCTAGAACATCCTAAGCCCACTAACTTTCTCACCATAAACTAAGATGCCTCAATCTTGGTACGACTGATGTTCAGGGCCAGAGAACTCTTTCTGCGGGACCTCTGGCAGATAACTACCAGAGGCCAGTAGCATCCTTCCACCCATGCTGTGACACCCAAAAACGTCCCCGGACATGGCTGAATAAGACTGGCCCTGGCTGAGAATCACTGCTCTGAATACTCCTCCTGGAAATGGTACTAAATATCAAGGTTTTTAATCTCACTTATGATAAGAAATAACTGGACTTATTCAGCACCTACTCTGTCCCATGCACAATCCCAAGCACTTGATACGTATTCACTCACTTAAACCTTGTCTCCTGTGACACAGATAAGTCATTACCTCCACCTTCTAGATTAAGAAACTGAAGAGCAGAGAGGTGCAGTGACTTGCCCAGGGTCACACAGCAAATGTGGTGATGGCAATGTCAGGCCTGGGTGGTCCTCTGAGCTTTAGGCTCCTGTGAATAACTGCCTCTGCTGGGGACTCCCCCAGGTGACATTTACTCGAGTCCTGAAAGATGAACTCAAGTGTCTGGTAGCTCAGGTGGTAAAGAATCCACCTGCAATGCAGGAGACCCCGGTTCAATTCCTGGTTTGGGAAGATCTGCTGGATAAGGGATAGGCTCCCCACTCCAGTATTCCTGGGCTTCCCTGGTGGCTCAGATGGTAAAGAATCTGTTTGAAATGCGGGAGACCTGGGTTTGATCCCTGGGTCAGGAAGATCCCCTGGAGAAGGGAACAGCTACCCACTCTAGTATTCTGGCCTGGAGAATTCCATGGACTATGTCCATAGGGTCGCAAAGATTCGGACATGACTGAGCAAACTTCACATCCATAAGACTAGCTATTTCTGTATTTCTTAAATTAGTTAATGGTACAGCTTTTACCCTGACCCTCTGTGCCTCAGTTTACTTTGTAACCTGGGTGGTATTTCAGACTCTGCCTGGATTCTCTTCTTTATTCCTGAATCCAACCATTCATTGAGGTCTAACCGTTTTACCGTCTAACTATTAATCAAGCGTATCTTTCCCTGTATCTTCCGCTCCTCAGCCCCTCAGAAGGGCCCTGATCTCTCCTCAGCGCCGCTGTAACCGACCCTCCTTTGGGGTCCTTGGGTCCGGCCCTCACAGTCGTCCTCCCCCTGGCGCTAGCGTGGTCTAGCTAAACAGCACGTCTGGCCGGGACACCTTCCAGCGTGAAGCTCTCCACCGGCTGCCCGGTAGCTGAGAATGCAGTCCGGGCTCCTCAGCACGGCCCTTGCGTGGCCCTTTCCGACCCCCGTGCCCCTCCGTCACCCCAGAAGCCCACTTAACTCTCCCCCTGAGCGCACCAGGCTGCTTCGTGCCTGTGACCCTGAGCTGTCCTCTGGAAAGCGCTCTGACCCATCACCCTGTGCGGGCCTGCCCCGGCGCTCACCAGTTAGTGAGAGTGATTCTACACTGTGTCCCACAGAGACTCGGCAAAGAGCCGCTGACGGTGGGGGCCTTGCTGAGCCCCACGCGCTCACTTTGCTATCTCCAGCGGCTGCGGTACTGGGCAAAGCAGCCTGGGAGTGCCTGGAAGCCCTGAAGTCAAAGACAGTAGTAACAGGATGTGTGTGGACCTGTGGGTAATGCAGAGTGACGAGAACAGGGAAATCCTGCCCAGGGTTACACTGGCTGAGCTCAAAGGAAGCAGGGGACTCGACCAAGTGATTACAGGGCATGGCAGGGAGAGAGGGCTGGGAGAGGTGATCCTTGAAATCCACAAGACACAGCCTTAATCTCAGTACAAAACAAGGACATATTCTATGACCCATTTATTATCTTAGAACATAATGGTGGGAATCTCAGGGTGTAGGTACATGATTGCAGGAAGCGGTGTAAAGTGATTACCAGATTCCTCTGGACAATACATTTATATGTGGATAATAAGTTTAGCTCAAAAGGATTACTCAAAGTATAATGTGAACCAATATTCTGTAAGTACAGTTACCATGTCATTTCCACTTTCTGCCTACAGAGTACAGCGGCCCATTGAATTTCCTGCAGTTCTTGTTTATTTTAAGTAAGTTACAAATTCTTCTCCCTGACTGTGGTGAAAAAGGTTCAACTTATTTACAAGCGTATTTTGTTGGCTCCTTCAACAGACTTGGTTAAGTTCTTGGTACTAAGCATGGGTTAACTTTTTGTTTAAAACCTTAGCTTCCAAAGCCAAAGTCATTAAATGAAACAATGCACTCTCAGAAATGCTTTTTTTTTTTTAATTAACTACCTGACCAGTTGGACATGACCTCATTGGTATGATCTAGATGTTGTTAAATGTATAAGATGAGTACCTTTTCTAGGCAGGTGTCTAGGAACTAGGAAGTCACTGCTTCGGAGGTTTAGTGTCTGGTAACCAAGCTGCACTGGGTCTACCCCTCAGCGTCCGCCAGCTCATCCACCCAGCGTGGGGCAGCTACCCAACAAGGCCTGCTCCAGGGGTCCCAGACTCTGCTGCAAGGAAACCCAGTCCTCTGGCTGGTCAGTCATGGAAGGTGAGGCCAGGGGTGAAGAGAAGAGCAGGTCTTATAAAATTCTTGCTTTGGGAACATGGCTGAAGCTCAGAGGACCAATAGTTCAGTTCAGTCGCGTCCGACTCTTTGCGACCCCATGAATCGCAGCACGCCAGGCCTCCCTGTCCATCACCACCAACTCCCGGAGTTTACTCAAACTCATGCCCATCGAGTCAGTAAGATACCAAATACGCAAAGATGCAGAGAGAAAACCTATAAGGTACATACATTCGTGGTGAGTCAGAAGTTATAAGGAAGCAGTAAAAGAAAGCAGATGCTCTGAAGCAGATAAAAGACGTAGAAAGAGAAAAAGGAACACAAGAGCAGACAGAATGGAGCAGGCGTGCAAAGGCTGCGCGCTCCATTGAGGATGTAGTAAGAGCTTAGCCTCTCATTCCCCTGCTGCTGAGATCCTGAAAGCTGGATCCCCGTCTGGGTGAACATTTCGGCTCCTGGAAGCCGGGCCCATCGTTCTCGGTTTACCATTACCTGTGTCCTGCTCACAAACCCCGTCCCACGGCCAAGGACAACAGCAGAAGGCACCGTGGCGAGCAAAGGGGCTGATGAAGACACCTGGGAGGTGAATGGAACGACTAGAGCAGGCCCTCGGTTGTGGGCCGTGGCTACTGCGGGGCACCTCTGCGGGCCAGGCTTCCGATACCACGAGGAGTTCTCCCGGGTGCACCAAGCGGGCAGGAACCCCTGCACCTCGGCGTCCGCCCTGAGGAAGACACCTGGGAGGTGAATGGAACGACTAGAGCAGGCCCTCGGTTGTGGGCCGTGGCTACTGCGGGGCACCTCTGCGGGCCAGGCTTCCGATACCACGAGGAGTTCTCCCGGGTGCACCAAGCGGGCAGGAACCCCTGCACCTCGGCGTCCGCCCTGCGAGCAGAGAGCGCCCCCCGGGAGGTCCGCGAGCAGAGGGCCCGACTCCGGGAAAGGGACGAGCCCCTCCCGCCCCGAGCGCGGCCCCGCTCACCGGNCTCCTCGGCGCTCCGGCTCCGCTGAGGGCGCCCGCCCCGGGGCCTCCGGCGCGAGGCCCGCTTCCTGGGCAAGATGGCGGCGCCCGTGCGTCTGTGAGCGCCGCGCTGAGGAGCCCCGAGAGGCCCCGAGCCCTCCACCCCGGGCGGTCTCCCGTCTCCCGAAAGCGGCGGGTGAGTGCGCGCGGGGCGCGGCGGGCGGTCAGCTCTCCGTGCGCCCGCGGACCGCTGTGGTCTGATGGAGAAGCGGCACCAGGCGGCCTGGGCTGGAGCCGGGGGCTTGGGGGGTTAATGACTCTGTTGGGGCCGTGTCCACCCCCCAGGCAAGAAGCGGAGCAGGTCTCCTCCTGAAGTTCTTCCCAGCTAAGTCCTCTCCTTTCTCTGAAGACGCCAACTTTTCCTGATTCCCCTTGTTACCCGGGTGGATGCGGTTTGCTCTGATCCTGGAACGTAGAGCCCGGCGCGGGGAAGCCTCCGCTGGTTCTACTTAAAGAGTGTTTGCAAGGCGCTCCTCTCGGTTTTTGGAACCTTTGTGTCTGTAGCCAGCGTTGGGGACAGCCAGAGTTCTCTCCTCCAGCACGGTGCGAGGGGTAACTTACACGAGAGAGACAAGTCTCCGTTCACATCTCTTCCCCACCATGCTGTTTACGACTGTGTTTCCTTTATCTCATTTTGAAGTCACTCTGAGGCAGTTTCACAGCAGCCTCCTATTTTCAGGAACTTTAAGGGCAGACACTTTGGGGTACTTATAACCTAGGGTCCTTGAATATCTACATATACTTGTATTTTTTATGCTACCTGTTATAATGGCATTTTTCAAAAGGCACGGAAGAGAAAACACTTTTATTAAAATCCTCTCACGCTTCCCATTTGATTTTTGTTATGCCTCATATGTCTCTGAGTCTCAAGATAAAGCTTTTTACAGAGTAGCCAAACTCCTGTTACTCCTGCAGGGTGATCAGTCTTTGGGCATGTCTTGCTTTGGGTTAACTGAAAGCAGTTCTTTTATTTTGAGTTTATCCTTTTAGTTCAGTTGCTCAGTCGTGTTGGACTCTTAGCCACCCCGTGGCCTGCAGCGCACCAGGCTTCCCTGTCCATCACCAACTCCCAGAGCCTGCTCAGAGTCCTTTGGCATTACTCAAATGATTCAAGACCAAGGGACTCGCACTTTATTATACAAGAAGATCCGGAGCTGTTTTTCCTTACTGTGATAACACAGTTGAGGGCTGATGGTATAAATTAGGAGCGTGGCGCCTGGGAAAAGTACATGTTAGTGCAAGGTACAGAAAGAGAAAGCTATCAGAGGTAGAAGAGAACACATTGACGTTATTTGGGCTTGTTTAAAAAGAGTGCGGATTGCATTATCTTACTGTATTTTGCTTTCATGTAGAAAATGAAGCTGGAATAATTATTACAATATACACTTATTTGTCTCATTATCAAGCAAGTTAATCACTACCATATACAATTAACATATCTAACTGACTTTAACTGTTGTTAAAGAAAACTTTCCAAATAAAGTCTTCGGAAAGTCAAAGAAAAGTTTTCCAAATAAATATATAAAGTTTAGTTTGTTTGGGCAGTCTGGTCACCTATTCGGAGAAGGCAATGGCACCCAACTCCAGTACTCTTGCCTGGAAAATCCCATTGACGGAGGAGCCTGCTGGACTGCAGTCCATGGGGTCGCTCAGAGTCAGACACGACTGAGCAACTTCACTTTCACTTTTCACTTTCCCGCATTGGAGAAGGAAATGGCAACCCACTTCGTGTGTTCTTGCCTGGAGAATCCCAGGGACGGCGGAGCCTGGTGGGCTGCTGTCTGTGGGGTCGCACAGAGTCTGCCGCGACTGAAGTGACTTAGCAGCAGCAGCAGTCACCTATTAGTACAAGGAGTTAACTGAGTTTAGGGAAGTGAGAGCTCCCCAGTTGTTTCACAAAAAATACTTTTATAATTTTATTTGAAATCAGTTGCCATTATGTTGAATACCATTGCTTTAAAAAACTAACAAAATCCAAGAGAGTGGCTGTAGGTACTTTTTAGTTACAGCAAGCGTCTTTTTTTTTTTTTTGCCAGAATGGTATTAGATCAGAAGCAAGAAAGGTGCAGTGAAACTTGCTGAAGTTAAGGACCACCAACTCCCAGATGCTTTAAACGTTTGTTCTTAAAGTCAGATGATTTCCCAAATAACCTGTCCAGGATGTAAAGGGTGCTGGCAGTACTGAAGCTAAAATTTGTTTTTCTGTAATGACAGATTATCAGGAAATCCATGTTTAGAAGTGCACGTGTTTAAGATTTGAAAGATGTTTTTGGACTTTTAAAAATTACATCTTTATATTTTGTAATTTATTCATAACTTGGAAGAGCACTGGTGTTTTCCCTGTGCGTAGCATTATTTAAATTTTTTTCAATAAAATCCCAATATCACATTGTCAGTTTTCACCCTTACTTTAAGGATTGTCCTTGTGCCCAGCCCACTGGATTACCCCACAGAATAAGGAAGCTGAGCAGAGTAGGTAACTTGTGTGGTATCTTATATCTTGCTCTGTACTAGAAGCCTAACTCTTTAAAAAGACTTTCTCTAAAGTTATACTTTATGTGTAATTACCTTCAAGGAAAGAGCCATCGATTTTTGACAGTAATAGTATGATCTCTAGATGGGTACAGTAATGACCATACCCCTGGGAGGTCAAAGGTTAGCCAGACTCTGCCGCAGGTGTGTGATCTGTGATCTGATCACCTTTTTCTACTTGACTCCGCTCTTCAGTCCAACCCGTAAGGGAGGTGAGCTGTGCTCTCCCTGCCTCTAGGGACAGTGCCAAGGCCAAGAACGTCTTCTCATGAGTTTGTACCATAAGCCGAACGGTTGTGGAACTGCACTCACGTTGGGACTGTAACCCATGGACTTTTAATTGTGATCACTCACCTGGCGTCTGGACTTAGGTTCTTTGTGTCTCAGTGCAAAAGGAATTCAGGGAGAGGCAAAGCGTCAGGCAAGCAGTAGATTTATTAATACAGGTTTCTCCTGAGAGTTGCACGGTGCCGGGCGAGGGGTCTCTGCCCTGAAGGTTGAGTGGGCTGCATTTTTATAATCCAAGGACAGTCGGGGAGGGGAGAAGACTGCGTTTTGACTTCCTCCTTCACGTTGGGCTGGAGCATGTCTGACTCTATGAGGTCTTACTAGGAAGGTCATAGCATTTATTCAAATCAGCAGAAGAGTGGTAACATTTTTCCTTTCACTTGATGACCTGGGGCATATGTCATGCGCTGTAGTTAAGCAAGCCTGCTTTGTTCTCGATGTTACAAAAGGCTTTCTTGTGCCGTCATTAGCTTAAGTGGTCTCCCGAAGTTCCCTCGGTTTTCCTCTCTATAATCCCCTACTGGGACTTCTGCAGCTCCCTGTCAGCAGTAGTCCCCCACCCCATTCCCCGTCGCCCCCCAGCTCCAATAATATGTTGAGATCCTCACCCACATGTGCTGTGTTAGGAGGTGGGCCTTGGGGAGGTGATTAGGTCAGAGAGCAGAGCCCCCAGGATGAGAGGAGTGTCCTTATAAAAGGGAACACGGGGAGCCCTCGCCCTGCCCACTGTGTGGGGACTCAGTCTGTGATCCCGGGAGTGTGCTGTTATCTGGCACCAGATCTGCGAGCAGCTCGATCTTGGGCTTCCAGTCTCCAGAACTAAGCGGTGAATGTTTGTAGCTTATGAACCACCAGGTCCGCTGTGTCTCTGTGAGAGCAGCTTGAGCTGAGACACTCTGTTTTGGGGTTGTGGTATCGTTGCTATTAGTGAACTAGGTCTGACAGGTACATGGGTTTTGGTGGGTTTTTTGTTTGCTTCGTTTTTTGTTTCACGTAACATTCTAACATCAGAATCTTATGCTTTCTGAAAAATAATGGAAAATGAAGTGTTTTTTTAGCCAAGTTTTATCCAAAATGTTAATGGCATACTTTGTTTGAAAGACGCCTCATTTTAACTACTGACAAATGTTTGGGTAGAAATGTCCCTTCCGGTGGGTGTTAGGGCATGTGTAGACAAACACTAACTTCCTTAACACTGTCTCCATAACTGTTCAACTTCACTGGGGTTTTCTGTTTAGTTCTGTTATTGGCCTTTTCTTCATTAAGACAGAAAAATCAAAACCTGACGTGATAAGCATAATGTCCACATTTGACTCTTACTGTGGTGTGAGAATGCAGTCTTTCCCCGCCCCGAGTCTCAGTGTTGCAGCTCATCCCAGCAGTGGAGGTTCTGTTTTTCTGTCCCCAGTGTGACTGGGGGTGGGAAGGGGCTTCCTGGTGGGTGGCTCTGGATGAACCAGGGGAGGCCAGACGCTGCTCTCTGGATGCCCTGGATGCCCCGGCGAGCGTCCTGCAGGCCCCGGGGAGCCCCTGTGACAATGCATGGACCGTGAGAGGTGCAGCCACTTGGTTGTGAAGCAAGAGAAGGAAGCGAAGCCGGGAGAAGGACGTGGTGTGTGATGGGGCCACTGAGTTGTGGGCAGAGACGTTCAAGGGCCTGAGAGGGTGTGTGCAGGCCCCAGCAGTGTGCTGTCTGCGGGGCAGTGACCGGCGGAGGTGCCCGCCGCCTGGGAAAGGTCACCCACCCAGTGAGGGTCGTCCTGGCAGCTGGGTCTCGCAGCTCGAGGTCAGGGTGAGGGGTCAGCCCGCGGCGGGACCTCCGACAGCTCCGCACGCGGAAGCTGCTCAGCCTGAGATGGAGCTGTCCCCAGTGCCCCTGTGGACACCGCCCGTTACGGCACAGGCTCACTCAGGAGCCCCGCTCAGCCCCCTTCCCTCTGCTCAGAGGCCACAGAGCTCGTTGCCTTTCCTGTGCCTGCCCACTCGAGTCTGTCCTTCCAGAACTGAATGGCAGAAAGGCAGGTGGTTTAGAGGAAGAAGAGCGNAATTCATTACATGGCTGTCAGCAAGCAGCAGCCGTGGCCGCCTTGGGGAAGCCCGGCCAAGCTATGCAGAACAGGAGCCCTGCACACAGCAAGGTAAATGCACATCCCACCCCGACTCCTGCGAACGGGCCCCACCTGGGCTTTTAGGCAAATCCGATGAGAGAGTTGGCTTGGCAGGCGGCCAGGAGGTATAAGCGTTGAGTGCAGTCTCCCTACACCTGATTCACTGCCGTTCACTGCTGTGCCCTTCTGGGACGCATCTTGTTCCTGT